TTCGGGGCGTTACACCTTCAGCTCCGTTCACAACTTGGGCATAGGAGGTACACGATGCTGAAGTCATGGGGATGATTGCCAGTCTCACCACATCATTGGTTGTATGAAGGCCAGGCTGAAACGAAGGCATCACATCCTTCCCCAACATCCTGTAGAAGTCCAACAAATCCCGCAGCCGCAGCCCGCGGCGAGCGAGGTCCTTGGTCTTAGCTTTCCAGTGAGGATCTTGTGTGATCCTTTTGGGCTTCGGCGCACACTTCCAGTGCCATTTGCACGTGCAGGATGTGGGAGATAAGAGAGACTCCGAGCTCTGCCACATCAGTCGATGGGCGCCGGAAAAAATGAATGCGCCAAGCATGTTGAGAAGGAGGTTGGAGCATTGAGCAATGATTGCAGTATTCACTCTTGCCACTGTGCCTACATGAGGATGGAACTCGATGACAGCAATTGCTGCAAATACAGCGATGCCACAGAAAGTGACCGTGGTGATCAACATCATGGCCATACCGAGGCCTTGCATCAAGGCTGCTCGGCGACTTCGTTGTAAAGCCATGGACCAATGGAGAGTTGTCTGATTCTGCGTTCGGACTTGGGCCGCCTGGAGCCCTCGAAAAATGGAGTGCAAGGTGCGGAACATCAGCGACACCCACGTGAGAAAGCAAGCACACATGAGAATCAACACTGCTACCAGCATGTGAGCACAACTGCCATCGGGCAATGCAAAATCATCATAATATCCATCGCTGGCTTCGACATAAGCGAAGAAAAGAAGAAAACATCCGGCCCCAAGAAGAATGCCGCCAAGCGTAAACATTCGCCTCGTCCAGGTTGCAAGCCAAGGCTGATTCAGCGCCGGCCAAAGGCTCTGAAAACGATGCTGGATTAGCAGTTGTAGGAAAACCAATTCAGCAACTTGCGCCAGCCCTCTCAAATATAACCATAAGAAGCTATGGTCCATACTGGAGAGTTCAGAGATGACGAAGCCGAGGGAAGCCAAACCTTCAACCCAATTGATCACCAAGAAGCGCGATGCTTTCAGAATGTGTGCCGTAGAGGCGTTCCACCACAACCACATTGCTCCAAAACCTGCTAAGCCTGTAGACACAATCAAGAAGTACACTAGGCCAATGTGGAACTTGAACACTCCCCGAAGTGGTTCCCTGGGGGACAACCAGTAGTCTGACGAACAAACAAATTGTGGATAAGGGTAACCGTAATTCCACCTACCGCACCCAAGAGTACCCAGCCAAAGAGCAGCCCAGGTGCCCAGTACGGCAATGCTGAATGCTATAATAAATCTCGTCAAGGTCCAACAGAGCCTCTTGGAAAGCAGGACATTCACCCACTCACTCGGCTCATCGGTCGAGCAAGTACTATCACTGAACTCACTGCTCATGGCGCATCCAGACCATGGCCCAGTCGTGCATTTGGACCTGACACAAACCATGGCTCCTGTCCCACCTCCGTTTCGAAGGTGGGCCAGGGGTGGGTGCCAGGGGGGTCGAATACCACCGAACCTGAGGACATGGTTGGAGCCCTAGGGTATATACATATCATTGCATATCCATAATCGGTGGTTGAACAAACAATGCAGAACAGCTTGCAGTCGTAAGATGTGTTATTTGTAAGCAGCCAATCACAGTCCTGTTTTCCAAGCAATAAAATGTGATCAGATTCTTTGTGATTCGTTGTGAAGGCTTCAGCTTGCTAAGCTATTCTTTGAGCACGAGACCATTTTTTGCCAAGCACAGCACTGTGATTGCGGTGGCTTTGGGATTTTCGGGGTGATTGTTGCTTTGCTTTGCTTGACGCTCTTCCTCCAGCCCAAAAGCCGCACGCAACGGCTAAGTGCGACAAAGCGAAAGGTGAACATCTCCGCGAGAAGATCAGAACATGCTGTCCAACATGTTCCAACCCAAGCATGGGATGTGTGCTCCTTTTGGAAAAAGAATGACATGAATTTTAGATGGGAAGGTTCCTCTATCATGGGGGAACCCCTTCCGCCAGTCCCTGGCCCCGGATGGGGTCCGTTTCGGTCCTTGATATGTTTTCAAGCTCGGAGGTGAATCGAGAGCAGCTTGACTGTCCAGGACACTTACATTCACATTTTTCCGATGCAAAGCCACTCTTGTGGTGGCATGGTTTCCGTGGCGACTTGACCAGCCCCAGGTCGGTCAGGTCGCCATGGGCAAACGGTCAGGCGTGCCATCTCTGCCACACTTGCATGCCATCCTTGGAGCTGAAATGAGGCGACTCCTAGATCCTAAGAAATACGACCCTGGGTTGGCCTTTGGGCCTTGCCGAAAAATGTTTTCTCATTTGGCCATTTGGGGGTTTGGTGCACATAAACTTAGTCTTATAACCAGACAAAAGTTAAGCACACCTTTTTACTCAACAACGCGAAAGGTCAGCGGTCAGCAGAAGCACCTGGCCAACAAAGGTTTAAAGCAAAGAAGTAAAGCAAAGCAAGAAACAAAGCAAAGGAAGAAAGTGGAAGGCGGCAACAGCACCCTTTTGGACAGTCAAACGGCGGTGACGTTTGGGGCCCATATGGGACCTTCCCAACTGTGAGGCTGAGGCTCTTGTGAAAATGGACTTGATGTGGTCAGGCCTTGGCCGCACGCCAGCCGCCTTTGGCTGGTCAGGCTGGTCAGACAAAGTTGAGGCTGAGCCATTGGTGGCCTTTGAAACTTTGCTAAACACGGCGCCATCCCTGTTGTCAATCCTTCGCACTTTCCGAAGAAAACCGCAAACATCACATAAGCCATTGATGTGCCAGTAGTCAGGCTTGGACAGGTCAGGCTTGGAATGGTCTTCATCCTCCACTGTCCACTTGCCAGACTTGTCAGCCCGGGCCAACTTATGAAAGCTGGCTGCCAAATCTGGATAGACAGTCCTGAACCTCTTTGTCAACATGAGCCTGGCTATCGTCAAGCCTAGCGACTTCTGAAACATCATGACATCAGGGAAATGTGGCCGTCTAAGATCGAGTTCCCTCCACTTGTTGGACTGAACCACTGCACAGCCAAGCGCAACCACGAGCAACGCTAACTGGACAGTGCCTCTCTTTGGAGGCGCATCAGACGCAAACAGAACGTCAGACCTCATGTTCTTGACCACGACATAGTCAACCCTGTTGTCAAACACAGCGTCATTGCAGCCCCAGGCCATCACAACAACAGACCCCTTTGGCTTGTCTTGCGACACATCAGACAAGGGGACATCGGCCACATTGACAACCACATTCCACTGTCTCTGGGCTTCCAAACACACCTGACCAGGCTTGAAAACGCCCCCAGGCCTCATGTTAGTCAGTGAATGCGTGCGGAACGCCGACCTGTTGACAGTCCACTGGTTTTTGGTGTAACTTCTGAACTTCTGCAGGCCATCATTCTTGTCAGGCTGGTGTTGTCGACGTAGTCGCGGAAAGAGGTCACCAAGCTTCTTGCCTGCCACTGTGTTTGCCTGGTCGGACCGGTCAGACCGGTCAAGCATGCGTTTGATGGACTGTCTTCGGGCATTGACGACAGACACTTCACTTCCAGGCTTCTCGGGCCTCTTCACGCCAGCGCAGACCTCTGCTTGTATAAAGCAAACCGTCTTCCATGGTGCCTGAGCCAAAGACCTGCCCAATCCCTTGAAAGGTCAGTCAAGCCATGAGCTGCTTGAGTGAGGCCACTCTTCTCATCAGCTTTGTTCCTGATGCAAATTTCATCCACCTTCTGTGGGCCACCCAACACAACCAATAGCATCTCGTCCATGGTCAAGCCAGAGTCCAACATTGGCCCACAGTGCTTCTCCAACAAGGACTTGGTCAAGCTCAGGCTTTGTTCAACTGCAACCGTAGTTTGCTCTATGGAACAATACCACGCTATCAAGGGTGTGACAAACCTCAGCTCACGCAAGTTGCCAAGTTTGGTGCCCCACCAAGTCTTGTTGTCAATCTCGTCAGTCTCAGTCGTTGTCCTGCAGGGGTTCATATGTGACTGTGGAAAGCATTGGCTCTCAAAATGACTGTCTTTGGTGAGCCTGAACTAAACATCAAATCAGTGTGACCCTAGCCCAAGATTCAACTAACTGAAGCGGTTGACAGGACCGGTCCCTCCTCTTGGCATAGACAAGCCTCAGGGCACATGCGCTGAACTCTTCTCCCAGCTTAGCCTCGTCGCCAGGGTTGGACAAGATGCGAGTCCCCTGAAATGACCTGGCCAAGGCAATGGCACGGCATCTTAGGTCAGTGTCAGTCTTGGCTGCTGCATGCATGTCAGACCGCTGCAAGGCCACCATCTTCTCCCACCGCTTCAAATCAAAACATGCAAAGTTGAGGTGAGTGCCTCTGTCCGGAAACTCTGCAGTAAGTCTATCCTAAGTTGACCAAATTCAGTACTTCAGTTGAGTGAACAATGTATAAATATAATTATTAAAGTTTAACTTACACCAACTGACTACAAAATCTAGGACACTGCGGAGGCTCCAAACTTGCCTCAGCAATACTCCTCATGGATGTCATAGCTCTCTTGATGTCATCCGCCCCTGTTGGGCTCCAGAGGGTGAACAATCTGCTGCCAACAATGAGTGGTGGCGTTTCTTTGGCAACCTTTATGGCCATAGCGGTGTATGACCTGAAGTCTCAGCACAATCAAAATGACCAGTGACGAACATCCCAACAGCTACCTGAACTGGTTTCTCTGCTTCATGGCTTCCTCGACAATTCAAGTCTTAGTCCTAAGTGTCTTTTGACTTAAACCTGTCGGTGAGAAAGCAATCTGATCATCAAAAAGCGGTCTTTATGATAAACAAAGGGCTGGTTCTCGTCTTCATCAGGCTGGTCAGGCTGGACCAGAATCCCACCATCAATGTACAGCTTGCTCACCCTGGACTTGTAATCGTCAAGGTGGTCTTTGGCCAGCGCTATGTCAGACAACCGCTGTGCCTCAAATATTTTGACAAGGCGCCCCGCGTCATCCCCCCAATCTGCCATAAGGCCAGCTATGGCTGCGTGGTGAGGGGTCATGCGTTCAAGCATCGACAGTGCTCGATCTCGTTCTTTGCCTGTCAGACGTAAGTCAGCCGCGCGGAGTGACAGGAGTAAGGCAATGGAGGACTGCAAAAACACATACCTGCGCTGCGGGACAACTGTGGATTCCCACCTGTGCGCTGCAAACGACATATGCCGGAGAACAGTTGTCAAACCTGTACTGGATTTCGGCCCGAAGCCGTTGTCAAGCGTGGCATTCCTTGGATCCATCACCATGCCAAGTGGTGATGTGGGCAGAGTTGAATGAACTAACACTCTCAGATGCCTATTGCACAACGACTCGTCAGTCAAAAGCCCGAAACAGGTGCCAAGCTTTAACTATTAAGACTAAAAAAAATTGCTGAGACACAAACAAGCCACTGGGCAGCAACCAGGGTATACCGCAACTTTTGCGAATACTGTATTGACGGAACAAGACTATGTTTCGAGTCAAACACCTGAAGTTGGGTTGGGGCAGCCAACAATCACAGAAGGACCACCCACCCCAAAAGGACAACAACCAATCATTAATAAAAGGTTCAGCCTAATGACGAGCTCCAAGAAACGTCAGACCACCATCCAGCAAAGTCAGTCTCCACTTGGCATGGCGTCACGCAAGCAATTCTGATGGTGTGAACCGGATCCTTGATGCACAGGCTGACCTTCCCGAACCCACATGTCAGATAGGCACGGGCCTTCGTCATTGGCCTCGCTCCATCTGTCACAATGGTGTGAACTTTTGGCAATATTGAGTCATACCTGACTGGCCGGCAAACAACATTTAGAGACCCTCAACAGCCTGGTACACTTATGGTACACAAACACATCAGGAACACCAAATTAAAAAAAAACTGATGAGTCAGTCGACTGGGTTGCAATGTTGCGTCAAACACGCCATCAAGGCTTGTGCACGCTGCCGCCAGTAGCCCTGCAATGCTCTGGCAAACCTTTATGGCATAGTCTTCGTCGTAGTTCTGCAAGTCACCACTTCTTGTGGGAACCTTGAACTTGGCGATTCAACAATTGTCATTAGGGTCTTGTGACAACAATAATGACGACTCCGACAAAAATTATTAAAATCATCATCAAAGCAGCCACACCAAGTAACCCACGGTCAACCAAGACATGCCCCTTCGTTGTCAATCTGGCTGCCTGGAACCGAACCAAGCGGTATGGATCCTTGTCATCAATTGTCAGGCACAACGAGGAGCAGTCAGACAGAATGGAACGGTTGTGTTCTCGCACTGTTTCAGCCATTATTGAGCACATGTTGCGAATCTGCTTCCTGTAGGGGCCCCTTGATCTGGCATCTGTCAAGCTTGTCAAGTACTCTTCCACATTCATATGTTTCTCCTAAGTCTGGAGGCGAGAAGACTAATTTAATGCTCAATGTCAGTAAACAGCCACATAGGAATGTTTTTAACAAATAATAAATAATATAATGGCTGAACATGCCAAAATTCGGCCGTGTTGAATGAAGCATGTCGCAGCATCTGCCAAACACGGACCCAATCCTTCACCTGAGGGACAGCTCCCCGCAAAAGGTCAATGTCATCGACATTGTCAGACATGATGTCAATCAGAGTCTTGACTGGCCCAGGGTCCAAGAAGTTCTGACAGGCCAATTTGTGCATTGAAGAACGCATGTGCTGCACAAAGCAAGAAGACTGCATGCTTGCCAGACTGCGCCTCGGAGTGTCCACAATTTATAATTACTAGTCAGTTGAGAACAGTCCGCAATGAATGCATCAGACTGATGCCCGGCCGGGCATTACACAGTGACTGTTCAGTCAGAGTGAGGAGGGTAGGAGGTGGTCTTTGGCACAGACACTGAAAATCATCTTAAGGGCTAAGATGCCTCATGCCCTTTTGCCCCCTCAGTGACCAAACATTGTCAGTCAGTCCTTAGTCACTGGTGTGATTGGGCTCATGTGCGGTCAATGTCATTTCGTCCAAAACTACCTTGATCACGACTCCTTTGAACGGCCGTTCTGTCCCACTATTGCTTTGACCAAGCCGAGATACACTTCAAACCTGCTCCATTTTGTGAAGAATCGACGTCGTTTCGATGTCAAACGCAGACCCTTGACAGATTCGCTCTGGGCGCGCACCACCAGCAAGCTGCACAAATGGCAACCCAAGCCCCACGAGCCGCCAAAGTGCGCTGGCCGTTCCGTCAGCCAAATGGTTTTAGCTCGTTTGCCCTGCTTGTTGTG